TTGAAATCCCAGGTTCCCAGCTTTCTCAGTTCTCGAGTTACCCAAATTCCAGCCAGAAAATTTCACCGAGCCGTACGTGGCAACCACGAATAAAGGGGAGGGGGGCGGAATTTGGTAAATTGAAGTTGTAGATGAGTTGGGAACATTTCCTGAAAGTTTCAGCCTCCCAGCTTTCCCGGCTCCGGAGTTATTTATTTTCCCGCCAAAAATTTTCACGAGGCTGTACGTGGCAACCACGCACATTGGGGGGCTGATTTTGTTAAATTCAAGTTGTAGGTAAGTTGAGAGTATTTCCTGAAAGTTCCAGCGTCCCAGCTTCCCTGGTTCCGGAGTTATTCATTTTCCCGCCCAAAAATTTCCACGGGGCCGTACGTGGCAGCCACGCACATTGGGGGGCTAAATTTGGTAAATTGAAGTTGTAAATGAGTTGGGAACGTTTCCTGAAAGTTTCAGCCTCCCAGCTTTCCTGGTTCCAGAGTTATTCATTTTCCCGCCAAAAAATTTCGCGGGGCCATACGTGGCAACCACGCACGACGGAAGGCTAATTTTGATGAATTGAAGTTGTAGGTGAGTTGGGAACATTTCCTGAAAGTTTTAGCCTTCCAGCCTTCTTGGATTCCGAGCTAGCGATTTTCGCGTCAGGAACCCTCAGAGGGCCGTACGCGGGAACCATGAACCCCCGGGGGCTGAATTTGAAATCTTTGAGTTCTACTTGGACTGGAAACATAACCTCAAAATTTCAGCTTCCTAGCTTTTCTGGTTCTCGAGTTAGCGATTTTCTCGCCGAGACTTTGAGGTGCTCGTACGCGGGGCCTAGACGTGCTAGAGGGTTGGTACCGCGGTCCTGGGGTGGCACTTGACCGGGGAACCCATCTGCAAAATTTTGGCTCCGGAGCTTGTTTGGGTGACGAGTTGAAATACCCGGACAGACGCACACACGCACACACACATACACACACATACATACACGCATACACGCACATCGGGGTCGTCACAATATGCGTTTTCGCATTTGCATATATGCAAAAACGCATAATGATAATCATGTACCTGGAGTTCCACTCGGCTCTATAATGCAACACCCTCATCCCAACCGATGTTCATTCTGCTGCATGCCGGAAGAAACCAAAACATAGCCAATATGAGACCCAAGTGTTTGGTTGCAGCGCACGGATTATTCCAGCTATTAGCGACCCGCGAGTTTAGTGCAAAAACGCATGATCGCACCGGCAAACCTGGTGCATTCCAGCCTGGGTTTTTTCGATGATCATGTTGGCTTGTCTTTTCCGTTCAAAAATGGTGGTACATTCTTTTTCACGCCTTTGAGTTTTTAAATGGCACTCTAGAATGAGATTTTGTGCCATCGTCTTAAACTGCCATCACTTAAGGCAGATTCACGATTTATGGATGCTGTTTACATGAGTTATCGGAAACAATAAATCCGATGTGGAATGTAACAAAGAGTTACCCGGCAACAAAAATAATTGACCGACGCACGGGCTGTCCGTGCGAAAATGCGTTTTTTGCACAGTTCCCCGCAGATTTTTGTCGCTAACGGCACTGTTTTTTCGACAGAAGTTTCTAGCTACAAAAATTTCAGCCCACCGTCTGGACTATTAGGAAACATCCCTTCAAAACCCCAGTCTTCTAGCTCCTCAAGTTCCCGAGTTAGCAATTTACACGAAAAAATCTTTCACGGGCCCATACGTGGGAATGACTGTTACCCGGGGACTAGGTTTGAGCTTATTAATACCTACGTAAATGGGGGACATTTCCTTAAAATCCCAGTCTTCTAGCTTCTCTAGTTCCCAAGCTATCAACTTACCCGAAAAAAAATTTGATGGGCCCGTACGTGAGTATCACGCATACCCGGTGTCTGGGTTTAAGCTCATTGAGACATATGTGGAGGGGGAACATCCCCTTAAAATTCCAGCCTTCCAGCTTTTCAGGTTCCCGAGTTATCAACTTACCCGACAAAACTTTCACAGGCCCGTACGCGAATACCACGCACAGCCGGAGGCTGGGTTCGAGTTCATTAATACCCACTTGGATGGGGATCATTCCCTTAAAATTCCAATTCTCTAGCTTCTCAGGAAAAAAGTTGGCAATTTACTCTAAAAAAACTTTGTCGGGCCTATACGTGGGTACCACGCACATCCGAGGTCTGGGTTTGAGCTCATTGAGACTTACGTGGATAGGGAAAATCCCCTTAAAATTTTAGCTTTCTAGCTTTTCTGGTTCTCAAGTTAGCGACTTATCCACAAAAAACTTTCAGGGGTCCGTACGTGGGCATCACGCGGGTAAAAGCGCCCATTTTGGGGGTTGGGGCCCGTACGTCCATGTAGATTAAGGTCCCAAATTTTCAGCCCTGTAGCTTTTGTAGGCCGTGAGATGAAAACCGTGGCAGATGCAAACACAGACACACATACCCACACACAGACAACCCCTCATTTGCGTTTTTTGCACTACATCGTTGCAAAAAACGCATAAAAATGACTGGTTGTCTGAAAGGTCCACTTTTGCTTTTTCAAAGATTATCATTTACCCTGTAGTGGAAGTGAAGTTTCCATTTCTGAACCGTTTCAAAAATTGCATAATGAACTGTGCAAACAGCTATCAGCACTGGAGTTCGCTGCAGATTAAAGTAGCTTTATCAGGAATGCGTTTGTATACGAAAAATCATTAAAGTGTATATTGATCGGTGCGTAGTCTAATTCCTTACGTTACAGAGCAATAGCGATAAATGACAACATCCTGGTTGCGCAGCTTTGGCTGGCCTAACAAATTGAAGCAGTGTGTCATCTCGGTTTTTTCGCTTGTGTCCCATTCTATATCAACCTTTAAAGCGCGTTCCAGGGTATCACCGCAGAGGCTATGCACGATGAGCGCGCACGCAGCACTCGGGGCCAGGAGGGCTATGCATATACCGTTTCGAGGGATTAATTTTCTGCCAGTTGTTGCCGTTCCTTTTTGACGAAACCCTGCATCCAACTACTCCGTTTGGAACACACTTTTACTTCCCGAAACTAATTTCGTTTATCTCAAATTTGCTTTATCCTGTTTCTCGGTGGTAAAACCATTCTCTTGTTCCCCTTCCCTTCTCACCCTCTTCGCGCCATCACCATCACTAACATTTCCAGCCATCCGCATATGACACATACCTAGTCTTTTAATTCTTGGTTATGCCTGTCTCATACTGACCAAATCACTGAGCTACTTCCACGGTGTTTAACAGTTTGGTTTCACAGTGTTCCACCACCGAAACAGCATTTTGATGTGTCGGTACGTGAAAGGGAGAGCAGCAAACACGTGAGATTTTCACCTGTCTTAACCGTTTCATGCGGTTCGCTGCCACTCACTGGTGACGAGGCAAGAAAAATCAAGGACTCATTCTGGTGGAAAGAGTTACCCACAGCGGAAGCTCGTCTTCATAATCCAAACGCTGAATACCCTTCAGGTCCCGGCTCCTGGCTCTGCAGAGGCCGAACAGTTCTGCTCTATAAGTCCGGTGATAAAGCAGACCCTCAGAACTTTCGGCCAATTACCTGCCTCAGTATGTGTTACAAGTTATTTACAGGCGCGTGAAAGGAAGAGAATGGAGTTGCATATATAAAACCCTTATGGCGCACGTCAGAACGGACGCAGCGTTGCAGAACAACCAGAGAGCAATGAAAGGAAGAGAATGGAGCTGCACGCACACCCACCTCTTCAACAGAGCAGTGGGCGCTCTAGCACAACGACGGCATCCTCTAAGTCTCCCTGCACGTACGAATTGTTGGAGCAACAGTCGATGCCGATGCAATTAAACTGCCAACGTAGGCCCCGCTGATGTGTACAAGTATCTAGGCGCTGAGCAGCGAATATTGGCGAAGATGAAGCGATAGGCCGGTATGAAACCACCATGACAGCCAAAACCAAGGTCATTTTCGGCGGCGACTTCACACTGGGTCAAACGACTAGAGCTTGCAGCTCCATGGCAGTTGCTTGCTGCCAAGCGATATTTCTAAATGCAAATAAACCATTACCCTTTCTTTAAAATCTGCAGTCCTTCATAGTCGCATCCCTCGTGTACAAGAGTTCCTGTGATTTTCCGCTGTATCATTCAGACTCAGTCTGGGCATGCTCATCTGTTTCGCCTCTCGAGAGTTTTGAAGCCGCCTTTTGATGTATCTGAGGTGATGAGATTGTTGTTTAAGGGTGTTTGAAGTGGCACATCCAGTCGCACTACCTTATCGGATCATGATCTCGCAGAGCAATTCGAACTGTCGGAGGTCATGGATCACTTCATTTGCAAGTTTGCTAACTTCCTGGATTCCTCAGACCATTAAATTTTCCTGCTTTATGGATCTGTTTTCACAAGAGTCTCGAAAATGGCAAAACCCGGGAGGAGGAATTTTTTCTTGCATGCACTGCAACAGTATTTAGTTTTAGCCGCTTCATGAAAAATTATACAAGCAAGTTGTCACAGGGGCACTTAAAGCGCTCAATAATTTGCAGCCAGTGAAGATACTGACACGCTGCAGAATGTGGGACTGATCGTCGAGAGTTGCAATTTAATGGAAAGTAAACACCGTAAACTAAGATCACTCCAGGAAGAATTGAAAGCTTTGCTGTATTAGTGATGCTTCTTATCCGTGCACACTTACAATTAATATTTTAATGTAGAAGAAAAGCATTTGAGATTTTAATTTTTGTACACACAAAAATCTGTCACTGTTAGCACAGGGCGCAGCATTAAAAAAAGTTTAAATAAAGCTCGGAGGCACAACGGGGATAACTCACTGATCTCTACGCTGCAGCATCACTTTTGAGGCAAGGTCACAAAAATCCCGTTTTTCTTCTGAACAACTTGCTTACTACAAAAGGCAGTGGGGAAACAATCGCAAGCAGCAAAATCATATGCACCCGCCTGCCTTCGGGTGTGCCGGATTTCGACCGCTGGTAAATTCTAGCGAGCCGTTCTGTCTTGTCCGGGAATTAGCGTCTTCACTTTATCGCCCAAATATGTCAGAAGTTGCCCTTTGTGTTTGTCAGCCAAAACGTTTTTGGCATCCTGAAAAATGTCAATTTACTGAGTGAAATCAGATTGTCCTTGGGCAAATTTATTGACATCGCTTTTGCTTTTCAGTTGACATTGAGTCCTTACAGGCATTGAATTTTAAAAAATCTACGGCCGAAAAGCCAGCAGGGATGGATGTCTGTGGCCATGGCGTTCAAATTTTTTCACCATCGGGATTCCACAAAAAAGCAGTTAAGGAAGGAGTGAAGACAAATGAAAAGCAAAAGGGATGACAAGCTAGACTACTAGCGCCTGCGACTTTCCGGCTCCGTCAAAGTTAGAATTCCGTATATGAATCCTTTCTCGTTTCAAAACATACCCCAGAAAGCACGCCAGCAACAAATAATATTTAAAGGATAATCTGAGATGAGACCTGATGGTGCAAACAACTTCAGTAGGAGAGCGTGGAATTGGGGTAAGATGTCGCTGTAGAGAGATTCAGGCCCAGCTCCTACGACTATGTAGTCCCATCTTTGAAAGGAAATTCAGTCAGAGACTGCGAAAACGGATAACTGTAAAGGCAGTTATTAGTCATAATTCATATATGATCTGTTCATAAGGCGAAAATGAAGGAGGACAGATGATGATGAGGATAATATATATACCAAATTATTCTCACGAATAATTTTGACCATCTTTGAAACTAGCTCATCTTGTTCTTTCAATTTCTCCTCAAACCGCTGCAGTTTACTTTCGTTGTCCTGAAAAAAAATTTTTTTAATATTTCCCTTGAATTTACTACAGAATTTTAACAGAATCCTCATATAACTGATGGGCCCGGAACCAATGAAAGAAGGTAAAACCAACTTTTATATATTTCTCCACATCGCTGGCTTTGGCTTTTTCTGGATTTGATCTATATATAGCGTATATAAGTAATACCGTCGTCACATATATAAGTGCCTCTACAAGCGTTTCACTGGCCTGAGGTAAGTTTGCATTAGTAGGGTTACCCACGAAGGGTGTCGTAGAGCATATGACTGATTCACTGGCGTTTGCAAGAAGCGCACCCGCTCTTCTCCTTCTGCAATCAAGCAGTGTCGAATTGTTTTAGAAAAATCGTCTATGATAACAGGATACAATACTCTCTAGGGGATGCTAAAGTAGAAAGCGAATGACTGGAGAAATTTTGGAAAGGGTGGAGAAAGAAAGGCAGGGAGTACGATAAATGCATGCATCAGCTTTAAAAAGCCAGCGCAAGAAACTAATGAACGCCACAGGAGTGACGTTTTGGCACAGCGGATACATACACGCAAACCATCAAAAGTCATACCATTTCAATAGCCTGCTGGTCTGTTACGCTCGGCGTTTTTGACGGTACTGCAAGACCTATACTCTTAATTCTCAAACGGAATGAAATAGCGTGTAGGCCTGAAAAGACTTCATTGCAGTTTCGGCCCATTCATAACAGCCTTCTCCTTAATCCCATCCCAACAAAACACTGATTTTTTGTGGCATCCTTTCTCTAAAAATTCGTCGAAAACTTACTTCTGCCAACAGGAATCAGTATTCTGTTCCTCAGATAGGGATGTTTTATCGCATACTCAATGATCCTCCGCGCAAGTGGACGCGACATCTGTCGCCCAAATGCAACAACAAGCTGAAACACCATCATTCGCAGATAACATCTGAGAAACATCCACTTCGTGCAACACTTCTGATGCAAACGTCACTACGGTGAGACTGGAGAAAGGAGTGAGGCTCAGGGAATTGCAAGGGAGGAGGTGGAAATGATGGGCAAACCCCGGATCTTCGTCGAACATATCAAATCTGACGGACGGCAGCCTTTCCGAACAGCCAATCTGCGCAGCCCTACCAGTGAGAAGCAACACCAAAATCGGGAATTATTTCTGCGCTTCACAAGCGACCATTGTGTCCTGTGAAATTCTAGCCACGGCCCGTATTCGTCCTGTGATACTCGACTGTAGGTTGCGCGGCTGCCTTGGATGTATGCAAAAACCAAAGTGAACAGAACTTGCGCCACCTTCACTCCCAAATTAAATAGAAACATGCCCTGCCTACATTCCGTAGATGCCTCTTTTAAACAATTAAGAAAAATGGACGAACCTGAATGATGGGGATACCCATAGTTCACGGCATTCAACTGCTTGCACTGTTTCATATATCTAACAGTTCCATCACCAGACGCGCCAAGACACCACACCCTAAGATCACAGAAATATAAGTGCACCGATAACAATGAGTAAGACTGCAAGAAGGACAGAGACGATGAGGTTTGCTCGCACCCACCCTCGTCGCACTCAAAAACTCCCAACCTTTTTCGCTTCCCAACTCCAACCAGTATCGAAATTCTACACCCCAGAATACCGAATCCACAACTCATCAACATAACACACTCCACTCGTAACACCCAGCACCAACACAACCAATGGTCACTCGCCGAAGCCCTTCGGAAAACTACAACCCGCTAGGCGCATCTTCCCTCCCACCTCCAGGTAATTGCTAAAACTCGACCCGTCCCGCTTAGGACGCGAGTTGAAATAAGGGGCAATTGCAAACTCGCCTCGGGTCAGCTCGTCTCATACACAAGCCGCAAAAAAATTTTTTCTCTCGACGGCAGGTGTGCCTGCCTCACGACGGGTGGCGGCAGTTCGAATGTAGCAGGTGGAAGTGCGGGTGGTGTGTGGCGGGTTTCGTTCGAGGCAGAGAAGGGGGCTAGGATAGATGGATATAAAGACTAAATGGCGTAGATCCTTTGCCGATTTACTAAGTAACGTACATTTGAGGATGAAGGGGAGCGGAGAAGAACGGAAAGGATGAGGAAGTGTGCTCCTGGGACTTCTCTATTTATGGAACTGATGCTTAGGTAAAGCTGTTCCACAAAAATCCGTCATTAGGCTTCCCCA